TTTTCGTTCTAAGCAGCGGTACTATTTTATAACCCTTTGGCAATGTACATCCTGCGTCTACATTCTTGTTCTAAGCAGCGGTATAAACAGTCTGTAATTTTTGTGATACATCCTGCGTATACACTCTAGTTCTAAGCAGCGGTATTACATGTATTCCTGCAATATTCTTTGTGATATTTGGCAGCGCCAATTTTGTGATAGACACCCTGTGTCATACCAAAATTATATTTCTTTCTCTCCAGCGTTAGCACTCGGGGGGGAGTGTGTGGCGACTTAGAGTTGCCTTTCTACACCACGACACAGTCTATGGTCGTTGGTGGCGCTGTCCGAGCGGGAACAGATTATGTAAGTCGTAACTCGCCTTCGACACGGTCAAGTCTGATCACCTTGCCGTGTACCGAGATCTCAATAAAGTTCTCATATATATCCTATACAGTGAGTGAGTTCTTTCCCGCCTTAGCATACCGGCTATCGGCTACGAAGTATTGTGGGCGCTTCAGCCGGGCCGTAATAATATCGACAGGCCCCACAGATCTGCTGTACAGGCACGTTAAAAACAGAATCAAATAATCTGTTGCATGCTATGCATACATACGTTTTCGATAAATAATATGTATATCCAACTTTCTTAGGCTTTTTAGTTTTTACATGGATACGTATAGTAATGTAATTTCTTAATTATCATTGTATATCGCGTAAAAACAAATAATTTTCGATATTTGCGTATCTTTTTCAATAATATTTTATTAAAATTCTTTATTTGGTGACATATTCTTTTCACGCTTACGTGAAAGCATTTACATTTCAGCGCGTAGAAGAATAGTTGGATCTACAGCGTTAGAAATTATACATACAAAAATATTAAGTCTACAATTATTCTTATAAAAGTTGCGTCATTATGCAACAAATATTTTGATATTTCAATTGGCTACTTCCATCTGTGCCAGATCGTAATAAAGAGGCGGTTACACTTGTAATTGATTTATATCTTAAAAGAACCAAGTTAAAATTTAGTTGTTAAAAAATCTCGGTTCTTTTAAGATTTCGTTCTTTTGTCTGCTGGGCTCAGTTGTCGAGATATTTTACTGTCCAAGTTAAAATGGGACACCCTGTATATATTTGAAAGACTTTGAAAAGTATACTTTTTGCAAGTTATGTTTTATTTACTATTGATAAAAAAATGTAATGTCAAATGTACAATTATATTTTAAATTAAAAATAATATAAAATTAAAAACACCCTTTTCACAATAATTAATAATTTGAAATTTTAATGATTTTTTAGATTCATTCTTGAGACACCAATTCAAGATCGATTCATAAATCGATTCTTTTGGAGGAATCGAACATTCCGAGTTGCGAAGTCTTAAATCTGTAATTCAATTCTGTATCTTACATAGTAAAAATGCTAAAAGTGAATAGCTTTGTCTCTTTCTAACCGTCTCCTTATGCGGTGTCTACAATAAAGCCTATCACACAATGCCAGGCAACAGGCAATAGGAAGAGAGAATAGAATTTTTGACGCGTTGGATTCGTCAGAAATTTTCTACCAACCAATCCAACGCATCAGAAATTCTATTCCCTGTTCCTGTTGCCTGTTGCCTGGCATTGTGTGATAGGCTTAAGATTTCAAGACGTACGATTTAGAAAATTGACCAATTACAATGGAGTATTTCCTTCACATTTGACCACGAGTGATTAATTTCTTAAGTCTTACGTCTTAAAGTCTCTTTGTAGACGCCGCGTTAGAAAGAGATAAAATCATTTACTTTTAGCATTTTTACTGTAGTGTAAGATATAAAAGGTGCGTTCGGGGAGCGCGCTTTCAGCGCTAAAAGCGTCTTCTATCTTTGTTCGACACACAGCGAGTGACGAAGGTAGACTGACGTTTTCAGCGCTAATAACGTCTCCCCGAACGCAGCCAAAATGGACCCCCTGTTCTCTATAGCTGTACTGGCTGCACTAGTTCAGATATAAAAAACCTTGTTACAATCCTTTGTTACAAATGTACAATTTCCAGGAAAAAACTGCAGAAAGATGGAGTGTGCATTCGCGTGATTGGCAATTTGTCCTTGCTCCCAAAAGATTTACGCAAGATAATCGCCGAAGTTATTATGGTCACTAGGGACAATAAAAAATTAATTCTGAATTATGCTTTTCCTTATACATGTAAGTATGATCATCGTAAGTCACATTTAATTATATTTGCACTTGCTTATTTTTTATACCAAGCATAAATGAAATTATATACATGTATATGTAGTATATGGTAAAACGTAATGTGTATATACATATAGTAATTCAAAAAATATAAATTTTTAAATATTTTTTTATATCGGTAGCAAGGGATGACATTACTCATGCAATTAAGGATATAGCAAAGGGCGTAAAGCGTTCTGATATCTTGCCCGAAGATGTTGATGAACACCTGATTACCGACTGTTTGTACACTTACAAATCTTCAAACCCGGATTTATTAATTCGTACTTCTGGAGAGACTCGACTTAGCGATTTCCTTATGTGGGAAGTAAGAAGACCATTTCGTTCTTGTAGCTCAAATATATTTCTTCTCCTATAATTCGTCGAGGAGGAAATTTATTCATTTTTTTTTAGATTGCTGACACCTACCTCTACTTCACTGATGTATTGTGGCCTGAATATAGTCTTTGGAATTTTTTTGTTGCAATCTTTCATTATCAGAGATGCTTTCCTGACTTGCAAAGAAATAGGATTACGAAACCGATCGTGCGTAACAGTAGGGTATCCATGTTTCTCGACAAATTGTATCGCGAACGCGATATTATCCCAGAGAACATTATGACGTCTTAAAGACGTCTTAAATAGTTCTAAGACGTCTTATGAAGTTGTCAGAAACTTTGACAATATAATCATGGACTGCTAGGCCGGTATTCATAGTCCAAGCTTGAGTTTCAAGACGATCTTAAGCCCGTTCTCAAGACCAAAATCGATTCATAGTTCTTGCTTAAGATCGATTCTCAAGTTGAAACTTGAAGTCGGTCTCAAGGTAGAACTGCAGTAAATCGCCGACTTGAAATGGTCTTGAGCTGTCAAGTTGACAGTTTCCAGTGAACAGGTTAGTAATTTCGTATATCTTATACTTTTATAATAAATTGTGTTGCGTTTCCGTTCCGACGATTTTTACCATGGCTTTTGTTTTATTTTTAGAAGAGAGATCGCTAGACACGCATACAGAATGGAGAATACAACGGAGAATCACGAAACACAGAAACTATTTGGCTGTATTGAATCATATGGAGCAAAAGTATGTTATGTAATTTCTAGTAGTTTTATTATTTCCATTTTATTTATACCTTACCTATAACACACTGAAAGTCTATATGTGTACAATAGCTAAACGATCGTTTCATTTTTAGTGCAATCCTGGCTAGAGCAGGACACATCGTGTCCCACTTGTCGATTGGGTCCGAGTATGCAAGCGAATCACAGAGAGAACACTCCAGAGATGCCACCCGAACCACAGACTCCTACGAGAAGAAACGGTAATCATTTCTTCCTCTTTCTCGATGCATCGAGATACGTGTCTTGGTTGCCCAGCTTCTCCGTCGAGGTTTCGCACAACAGATTACGTGGCAACATATCTACATTGGCGCACACTAATTCCCAGATGGATGCTATGGCGCGACAGGTAATCTTTTTTTTACCATTCTTATATTTAACTCTCGTAAAAGGGACAAAAGGGACAATTTTATCGTAACGAAACATCTTTATTAGGTACAACTACTCTTCCCCCATTTTTCTCGCAATATAATCCTAGAAGACCTTAGAATGACTCGATCGGTCGAATGGACAATTGAGAATATTTTCGACGGGGTATTAACTATACCACATCATTTAATCGAAGAACCGCAAGAAGAATCCGTCCCACAAATACAAACGGCTATGACGAATATTGTGCCCAGCTCTTCTATTCAAAATTCACCAGATCCTAGATTCGATATTCCTGTTGCCGACAGGTAAGGGCGATATAGAAATTACCAAGTTTACGACAGTGATTTATCGCGAATCCGGGGACACCCGGATCAAGATGATAAATCAAGATGAGAGAGATAATATGCACGAACGTATTATTGTTTCTATAGCGGAGAAGAACCTTCGAGCCTTGGTGGTCGTTTCTCGAAATCATCTGCCGAGTGAGAAGTTATACTTCAACGACGGAAAGAACACATGCGATTAACGGCACGCAGAAGGGCGTCGTCGAGGTGACCAACTGCTTTTGCGTGCCGCATAAGGAGTCCGAGAGCCAGGTGGAGGCCGACCTCACGTACGGCATGGATCTGTACGACCTGAATCACCGGGTCAACGCGCAGGAGAATATCGTCGGTTGGTGGGCCACCGGCAACGAGGTTGTTTCTCACGCTCGCTTCCCCGGCGAGAAATGACTCGTCGACCGACGTCGGCACCGGCAAACTGATGCCGAGTGGAATTCGACATCAGTTGCTTTCCTCTTACATGAAAACTCGGATAAATCTCACTTGTGACGTCATAACTCAGTTGAATGCATGTTCCTTTTGGTTCTTGAGAAGTGAGATTCAACCAGATTTAACTGTTTTGCACACAAAAAAGTTTTGCACACAAAAAAGTTTTGCACACGATCAAGACCGTGTGCTTTAGTGAGTTTAATAGACTCACATTAATGATGTCATATCTCAGTATAAAATACTCACATAACTGAATGACTCAGTATCACTTGAGTGTAAAAGGAAAGCAGCTTTGTCTCGACGAATCGTTCCTCACCGGGTCGTACGTGCCCCCTTCATGGCGCGCGACTAAACGGAATGTATCGCAGGTCACCACGCACTCGTCCGTCATCCACGAGTATTATGTGCGGGAGTGCAATAATCCGGTGCACCTAACTGTCGACACTACACTGGGGAACACAACGAG